TCTTGCATGTCACATCCAATAAAGTTTGCCATTTTATGGTTTCCCTTGAATCTTGCTGTCTACATTCCCTGGATCTAATCTTAAAGGCAGGATGTGGACAACCTCCAAAATATTTGTCTCACGTACTTTACACCTCATTGCAGTTTCGTCCTTCACCAGTCGCCATTCTTCAAATTTTCCCAAAATTAAAGAGGTGATTGTTAATTATTAATTTTTTCTTGTAGACTTCACAAAAAAGAACGAGAGAAATCTAAAATATAAAGTTGATTAGTGAGTTAAATGCAAGATGATGGTGAAAATTGTTTGACTAGGGGCTGATATAAACAACAAAACAGAGATGGTTTCTGCTAGGTTAGCAGGTAAGGTCAGTTTTCGTGATAAAAGGGAAATGGCGGCCATCAGAATCTGCCATTATATAAAAAATATTAATATTTAATTGGGCGAGTTTGTTGAACTACTTTAGATGCCATGTATCAATGTTTTCATATCCATATAAAGTTTTTTAGTTGATGTTGTGTCACTCCCGGGGGTTTGTAAAACTATAGGATCAAATATTACGTGATTGTTCTTCATGATTCACGGTAAAAAAAAAAATGGGTATCAAAGGTAGTGCACAAGCATGAATTTTTCAAGTAATTTTTAATGTAAGATGGTTTAGAGTTAACACCTGCACTTGTCACTGTGCTTTTCACATCTTTTGTAATCTCAAATTGTTTCGATCAACTGGTATCTGCTTGAACGTGGAAACGGGTTTTAAGTATTATCAACATTGTTTATCATATTACTTGTATTATCTATCATAACTTATTGAAGTTTGTGTTTAGAATGAAAGTAAGACATTTAATCATACAAAGTTCATAAGAAACGAGCTTTTATAAATGGTAGAAAAACTTATTTTCTGATACTTTCTGATTATATGGAATTTGGTCTGCTGCGATTTGTTTTATTTATTTATTATACAAAATGTTTCTTTTGACGAAACTCGCTTGCACATTTACGTTGTGAATGCACGTGTGAGTTTTCATTGTCGAGTAAATGCAATAACGTTTAGTGATTTAAAAATGTATATTATGGTATGGGTAAAACATTTTACACAATGACTTCGATTAAAAAAGACAATTCTGGTAACAAATATAAACTTTCATAGCCATGCAAAGTATGTAATATGCTAATTGGGCTAATAAATTTATAGTTTCCAAATCCCTTCCCCCCAGATATTTTGTTGCGGGTTGTTTAGAAAAATAACGAAGAAAATTATTTTGGAAATGCATTCTCGTGTTTCTCATATAAACAATCTATGGTGTGTAAACTTTTCCTTTTTATATAAATAATTTTTTAGTTCTTTCAGCACTAACGTTTAAGTTTTCTCTAGGTCATTCGTGACGTAATCAACAATGGTACAGAAAATTAGAACGCTTGGATTCGCTTCTAATTATGGCTTTTTATACAAGCTGTTTATAATATTTCTCCATTTTATTGTATGTGTGTTGTCTTTTGAAATTCAATAGTTCGAGTACTAAATGGATATTATGCAAATATTTATGTTACTCGTTTGTTAAACTAGTAACTAAAAGTCATTATGAAAATGTTCTTTTATCGACAACGACGTATTAAATCAGTAATTAAGAATTTCTGGCAGATAGGTTTTCAAACCCACGACAGTGATTAAACAATTAAGGACTTATTTAAACGTAATCTATTCTCCAATAAATTACCATTGACCCTTATGTAACAGACAGTTGCACATAAATCCCCATAAACCTTAAAACTGCGAGAGGTTATATCAAAACACATATACCATTTAAGTGAATGATATCTTTATCAACCAAAAATTCGGCTTTAAAATTAGTACATCATCAAGCGCCCGTGCTTTCCGTAGCTGGCTTCATGGTTAGGGCACTCGACTTGCTTTGCCATAAACAACAACATACAAGCAAACCTTAGCTGGTTGTTATATGGAATTATTGGCCCATTGCATTATGCAGAATATTTGCTCCATGTTGGGCTCATAGTGTACCCTTTGTTACCTTAGAAGTAAAGTAATTGTTTCATAGTGTCGCAGCAATATGTGTTATTTAAACTATACACTTTTTTTTTTCCTGTGAAAGCCTCTTAATATAAGAGTTAGTCATTAGGTATGTGATTTTAATCGTCATTGCTTCCACTTAATATGTCTGTGTCTTCATACGAGGTAATATTGGAAGGAATACTTGTTGATTTGGAATGTACATGCTCAATAACATACCGATTTCTCTCTGGTTATGTCAGGCTGTGTGGATAATGTTTTAATAGCATACTATTTTCTTCCTCATACAGCAGTATTATAACGATTACATAGAGGAAAGAACCAAACGGTTGTTACACTTATAATTGTTTTCTTATAAAACGACAAGTTGTACTAGTCTGTTTTAAAACTATTAATCAGGTAGGTGTAGTTAAAAAAAAAAAGACAGTTAATTATAGCTGTATCGTCCTGAACCGGCTTGACGAAGTTTGTTATGTCTACTCTAAAGTAAGAGAGTAAACATTTTCGTGAAATGTAGGGGGCTACAGGACGACCTCTTTCCGCGTTTTTCGAAACTTGAATATAAAGTAATAGTCACTGAGTTTCGTTTTAATAGTCTGGTTACAACTGACATTATAGTTTCAGCAGATATATATATCAGATAATACTTACACAACATATTATTAATTATAATTTCTTTTTTACTTTGCTTAAAAGACTATTACTGATGATGGTAAATGTGTTACCGAAACTAGTCGACTGGTAACTAATATCAGTAATAATAAAGATTTTACCTTTCATTGTGCCAAGAAACGTCAGTTTTTTGTTTTTTACTCCTAATGTTACCAATTGCTTTTGGAAATATACTTCTTTCGACATCCATATTGGTACATATAAACATTGATGTGTTTTCTGTTTGATTATTAACTGAAGTATTCAGACAAAACAAGAAATAGCACATAGGTAATTTTATAAAGTAACCGAAAATGTATTTTTTTTCAACGTATAGGCTTAGGTCAAGTGTACCAAGTTATTTCAGGAAAATATCGAATTTTAAACAAGTACAGCGTGGCACGCGTTTTGCGACATAGGCGTACTTGTATTTCTGGAATCAGTGTTTACCAGTATTGTTTTAGTAATAATAATAATAAATTATAAAGTATTTAGTACGATAGATGAAACCTTAATGTTTCTTATCATAAGTTTGAAAGCCATTTGAACTATCAGATTTGATTATTTGCACTGTGTCAGTGTATGTGTGCTTATAATCTACAGCTAGTATAAAAAAAATAGGTATTTAAATATGTGTACTAAAATGTGGCCTTGAACACCATAACCTGCCTAATAAGCTGGCACATCAAAATGAAATGACTCTTGACAAACACAACAGTTATTGATTTCATCCATCTTTTTGTTTAATAGCAATAAAAAAATAAGTAGTTTTTATAGTCTCAGGCATTATTCTATAAGTTTGAGTGTAATATTGATAATTAATTTTAAGATAAGAATTCAAATGTGAACTTATTGTACATATATTTTTATATGTTTTTAAATTAATGAGATATACCACTGGATGTGCATGTGGAAGAGTGGCTAATGTGTATGCAGTACTTTATTACTAAAGATAGGGTTTGGTAGACAGTGGTATGTTTTAATGAATAGGGCGTTTCCAATATGCCAGCATATTTCTATACATACATGTTTGTGTTTGGAGAATTCTGAGAAATGGAACTGTTGGGGTTTTGTTTAGTAATAATGCATATGGCATGGACCTTTACCTCTTGAGCATTTATTGAACACAATTATGGACATCTATATTAAACTATAAATGTACTGTTAGTTGCTATTAGCCACAGCTGTTTAGGTATATACCTGATCTTGTACAATACAAAACTAAAAAAAACTTCAGTATCTATGGGATTTTGAGTCTATTTTATCTTCATCATGTAGTAACCTAAGTTAATTTATGTGTGTAAATAAGATTATGAAATTTCATCACATTCATTAAACTGTTGGCCAGCTGTATATATATATATATAAAAGATTTATTTCCTTTTTCTTATCTTGCTTATCTATGTCACTGATTCTCTTTTCAATCTCACTTGTAATGAAACAGAAATCTTTAACATATATATATAGGGATCCCTCGATTAATGCGTTTTCGTTTAGTGATTAATGATTTATATGAACATTACAATAGAATACTTTATTAAATAGATATAGTCATGTAGGTGTTTGTTCAATGAAGACTTTTAAAATTATACCAACTTTTTTCTCTTTTAATTGTTCATTATGTTAGGATGTATCTGTGTTGTAAACAAATTTTTGTTGTAGTTGTATTATTTCTGTGAAATCATTACAATGAAAAAAATTGTTTTCTTTCAAACTACTGCAAGCTAACATTAGTCTGAGCAAATGCCAAAGTGTTAGGTTCAGGTGAAACTGCTATTTTAGTTCCAACTTGAGAGCTAGAAGACATACATTATATTAGCACATTGTTCTATTTGTTTCTTCATTTGTATACAAATACAGTTATTTCATTGTATGTTTTGAAGGGAAATGGACAAGATACAAGATCCTAAAATTTACATTGCTGTTGCCTTGTTTCATGTATTTGTTTCATTACCCGTTTTTATGGAAAACATAGAATCAATAAAATATAAGCTCCTTAAATGTGTTTCAAGGATTATTCTAAACCATGCCAGATGAAATAATTTCAAGATGAAGAGATCGTGATTATGGGTTTCATAGTGTACACATTTTCCTCTTTTGTACTGAAACATATTAAATCTGAATTATCTTTTGAAATTGAGAAATATTACTGTTTCGAGCAATATCTTTAGTGAGGTATTTTGTTACTTAACAGATGAAGTGTTCACTAATGTGTCTTATTGCTGCATTGTAGATTTGTCATGATGGCTTACAGATTACAAGTTTTGTGGTTTAAGCTAATTTTTTTTACTTAACATGGAAACATATTTATTACATTTTACAGCTGGAGGTGTTGGTAAAAGTGCCTTGACGATCCAACTCATACAAAATCAGTGAGTATCTTTTCAATGAAGAAAAATGTATTTTTAAGCCTTAATTTGTGCATCCTTTTCATTTACAATTTGTAAAAAAAGTATAATCATATAGATGATGTGATTTAAGGTGTTCATGCTCACTTAATTATTTAACATGTATTGGTAGATGTACATGTATATCTCCAAACTTACCGGAAAAATTTTTTTTTTCACTCATTTTCTCATGCTTTTTATTCTGTGTTAACTTTTGTGCAGTTAGCACCATATAGGACATATATAAAGTTTCTTCTTAAAATAATAAATGTATAGAAATGTAAGATGTCTCGTTTTTTGTTGGCCTTATTGTTATAAACAGTTTTACATGAAAAAAGTGATTTAGATGTTTACATTGTAAACTTAAGTAGACATAATTTAGACAGTGGGAAAAAACCTTATGTAAGGAAAATAATAAACAATTCCCGGTCATCAGCAAATATAATTATGCTTTTGGTGTTACTTCTTGGCATATACATGTAAAATATAAAAAGTTGCACTCCACTTCATGTTGAAACATAATTTGGTTAGAGATTAGATAATTTTTCTCTGTATTTTAGAATTATTTTGGTATGTATGCTTGAAGTGTTAAATATGTTAGAAAATAATTTTAAGTTTCAAATGGTTGTTTTATAACATTCACAAACACACACTGTGTGTGTTTGTAGATCAAACTTTGCATTATTAGCTTAAACATATCTGTATGAATGGGAGTGTACTCAGAGTTTTTTTAATTAAAATGTTTAATATTACTATTAATGACGTGTTTTTTTAAATTTAGGACAAATAAAGGTGAAATTATTATTATTATTTTAAAAAGTGAACTGAAGTATTATATTGGTAAAAGAAGGAAATCTAATTTTAAACTTTCATTGAGGACTATTATATTGTTCTTTGTAGCTTTGTCGATGAATATGATCCTACAATAGGTAAGATAATATTTTGATTTTTAATGTTGTTGATCATAAAATTACTTCTGATAGAGAAAAAATTAGTTCTGTTCAACAATAATAGATCTTTTTTGTGTCTGAGTTCATAAAGTAGATTGATAAGTTAATAAAAATAACAGATTTTTGAAATTATAGCGTAACATTGGAATGAAAACAATTTATATCCTTGACATATTAAGTTATGAAATTTATTTAATAATCAGAGCAAAAGTTAACTTGGCCACGTATTGTTAATCAACATGAACATGAATACAGACTAAAGGAAATACCCAAGTAATTTTGTTTTAATGAAATACAATAAGAATTATGCTTTGGTTTTGAGATAAAACCAGTTTCCAACATAGGTTGTCAGGTTTCATGAATTTTGATTTATCTACTTTATCTCACAGGTTTTCTAAGTATCATTAAAGTATGGAATATATATATTAGTATAATAATATTTTTGTGTGGATGCAAAAATATATAAAAATTACAGTATTTACATAAATGTAATAAACAATTACCTTTTTAGTTTTGTTTAGGAAAATTACATATTAGGAAACTTATTTTTTTAACTAAAATAACTTGTATTAATAGTAAATCCTGAAAAAGTAAAATTAGAAATATTTTTTATCATGTAATTATGAATTTGTGTAATATAATTTTCTGATACATCGAAAGTATAGGAAAAATTATTCAAATGTTTATAAAGGTAAACAACACTGAAATAAGCCTACATCAGTTGGAATTCTTTAATGACTAATGATTTAATAAATTTTTGTGAGAATTTTTTTGACATGTATTGATGTAAGAAATTATTTGAAACTCCTCTTAAAATATTTTTAATTTATACTGCAAAATATTTATGTTCAGGCTGCTTGTCACCAAACTGAAATATTTTGACAGATAATATATATACTATGAAAGAGCTGTAAGTTCTCTTGCAAAACTAAATGGTTGTCTAATAATAACAGAATCTGTGCTAATATACAGTAGCATTAATAGTGGAGACATCAAACAAACAAAGACATTATGCTTCCCTTGTTATGGCTATTCTATTAAAATTTTATTTTTAAAAGTGCCAGTTTCCTAAATATAGTTGTAGATCTTATATCATGTAAAATGATTGATGATAAAAAGATTGCTGTATCAATTTTCCCTTGCTGTTTTTACATTTTAATGACTGATGTCCCCCTCGTTTATAATTCTTGTTATTCAGAATAAGGCTTAAGCCACTTCATGGATGAAAACTACCTGGAAGAGAAATTGGAATGATAACTAAGAATACAATTAAGAAAGGGAAAAAGGGAATAAAATTTGGCCAAAAAGAGGTCAATTGGTTGTGTGCCTCATAATGTCACCATTAACCTTATTGGGATTTATTTCACTTCTTTAAACTAAGAAATGTTAATTGAAACTTTAATACTTTAGGCTATTCGTGTATCTACCATTTTTCACAAAATACCTTGTACAGAAGTTAGTATTATGCTTGTTGTAACACAGCTCAGTTTTGAAAGTGTTTGTTCTCTTTTATGGAAAGAATTACACACATCCAATGTTTTATCATACTATTTTTCACAAAATACATTGCACAGAAGTTAATATTATGTTTATTGTAACACATCTCGGTGTTAGAAGTGTTTGCATTCTTTTACAGATAGGAATAAACTTTCAGTATATTTTCTTAATAACTTCAGTTGAAATTTCTCTAGCATTTGTATGGATATATATATGAATGTATACATATCCTATATTTTATAGAGGATTCCTATAGAAAACAAGTGGTTATAGATGGTGAAACATGTCTACTGGATATCTTGGATACTGCCGGTCAAGAAGAATATAGGTAACCGCTGTTGTTTTGATATTTGTTTTTAGAATGCTAGAAGTTGAATTTTAAGTGTTTGTTTTATAATTTGAGTGTACAATTGCCAATCATTTGTGATTTGTTTTTACATTATACCTATTTTTTTGCAAATTCCTATGGTTACCTGCAAATGATATGTATTGTTGAGGTTTATTTTATGATTAATGTTTATTGAATAGTCTTTCAATAATATGCATTTAGTTCTAGCATGTTATATTTGTTTACAAAAGAAATCTTGTGTAGAAAAGCTGAAGTGTTCTTAGGACTGTGTTGAGTAAAGTTTTGATCAGACATTGAAATGCTCCATATCAGATTGGAATAAACTACCTAGATTTGCCATTAAAAGTGTTAGCTGGATTAATCTATTAGGATGTTTTTTTTGCAATGTAATTATGTATTAATGAAATCTGTGTTTGATACTTAACTGAATTCATTGTCTTAAAACCCTAAACAGAGTAAATCTGTTAAATATATGTGAGGGTAATGTATTCTTATAATAATTGACTCTGTCTATGATACAATTGTATGCCATTAACATTTACTGCATTGGATGGTTTATAGTAATTTGTATACGTTTTTACAATTTGTAACTTTGCAGAGCAATAATGTATTTTTATTTTTTCTTTGACTTATTTAGAATATCTTTCCACTTTTTTATTTTTATTATATACATCCAAGGATTTGGTACATACACTGATAATTATTTTTGATTTTCTCATTGTCTTGAGATACCCAACATTAAGCACATTTAGGATTGGTTTGTTCTATGTACCATAACAACAGCCTTTGTTAAAATGTTTTATTGTGCTGTGTTTTACTGTCTTTACTGGTAAAGTTCCTAAATTAAAATTTAATATTAACAAAATTTTATCTAAAAGATGTTTTTCAGAATCTGTTTAAAATTTTCTGTTTTTTTATTAAAGTTCAGTTTAAGTTTTAATGCTATTATAATTATGAATTGCATAGACTTAGTGAGTAATATTGAGTTAATTAATGAGGTAAATGCAAATATTTTAGCACTACTATCAGCACCACCAATTCTTGCTAATATATATATATATATATATATATATATGTTAATTCAGCTAAAAGTATAGGTACAATAGAAAAACAAATTGTTAAATGTTAGTATATTAATGCTTCACTTGAGCTGTCAAGACAATTTTTAATTACATTAACTGGCGATTTGGCAAAATTTGATGTTGCTGTTTTCTGCTTCAGTGTTGGTTGAATTGCATGTGTGGTCAAAAAGGATGAGGGATATTTATATAATATTTAATTAATATCCGAGACTTTTTTGAACCTGTAAGTATTATTCATGGTAACTTTAAATCAGATGAGGAAGAAAATGCTAAAAAAATGGCAAAGATTTTGAATTTTGTATGTAAAAATAATTGTGAGAATTGTAATTGTTTTGGCTGTACATCTCATAAGCCTGTTTTTCTAATTTTTTCCTTTTGCTTTCTAGTGCAATGAGAGATCAATACATGCGAACTGGAGAAGGTTTCCTCTTAGTTTTTGCAGTCAACAATGCAAAATCATTTGAAGATATCAGTATGTATCGTGAACAGGTGAGCATAGTTTGTTACATAAGCAAATTTACATGAATCCATTGGTAAGCAGCATGAATAAAGTAAGCTTGGTTTGTTACATCGTGAAATAACATTAACAGGTCTGATATATTGGTAACCAGCATGAATAGGGGATCATAGTTAGTTGCATCATCTACAGAGCAGGGAAATTAACTTGATTAGTTAATACAATCAATTATCTATTAGCATCGACTATATTGATTAATAAATTAATTGGATTAATGTCACAACAATAATCAACTAGAATTTCTGATTATTACTGTTCTAGATTATTCCAACTATCCAGTAGTCGGAACTATGATTAAACGAATTACTATCGTGAAAATAATCAACTAATTGAAATTAGTATTTGCAGTTATTACTGTTTTAGATTATTCCAACTATTTAGTAATCGAAATGTTATCAATATGATTTTCATTATTATTTTTGAGTAATTCAAATTTTTTCAGCTTAATCGATTAGTTTCACAACTCACAAGAATAACAAAGTAATCAAAATTAGGGTTTCTGGTTACTACTATTTTCAAGTATTCCACCTATCAAAGTAATTGAAATATTGCCATTATATTTTTGTTTGTTGGTAAGTACAAAACTATACAATTTGCTGTATGTGCATTGCGTGACTTTGACTTCAAAACTCAGGTTTTTTTTCCCTTAATCATCTAATTGAAGAATAATGATAAGGTGTTTTTTTCTAGCTATTTCTTGACAATAATCAATTAGTTGAATGTAATCAATTAATGAGCCCATCCATTATGATTAATCAATTAGCAACTTCCACTAATCACCCATGATTCATTGAAATGCAAGTGTACACTTGAAAGATAGGCTTAAATATAAAAATGAAAGAGGTACCTTGTTTCTTAAATTCTTCTCAATGTTTAAGAATTGTCTTCAGAAGGTTTGTTTTGGTGAAGAATATACAAATATATTTTGCTTGATAGTCTTATTTCACTCACAATTTTAATGGCATGTCCACAAAGCTTAAAGAAAGCAGGCAGACATGTGAATTTTGTTAATGATTGCTTATAATGCTTATCATACAGTAAAATGTATGAATACTTTTGACGCTGCTGCGAAATTATAAATATTTATGCAAATAAGATAACATGGCATAAACAAGCTAAATAAATGAGTGGTAAAATATTAAGTTTAATTATTTTGTATTGCAGATAAAACGTGTGAAAGATGCAGATGATGTACCTATGGTTTGTAAGTAAATGCTCTTACTAATATTTTGACTAAATGTCTAAATGACATGAGAAAGGTTTCTTTTGTACTTGTAGTTATTCACACATTCATTCAGAGAAGTCAGAAGTGTTACAGAATAAGTAGCCTGTTTTTTCATTGAAAAGAATTGAAAAGTTAGCCACAATCAAATATTGAAGCATTAGATAGATTGATTCATCATTAAAAAACAAAAAAGGAAATGTCAGGAGACTGAGTAGAATATTATAAAGAAAATTAGATATAGTTATGACATCAGTAGGACTAAAACTGATCACTTTTTCTATGATCACAATCTTTGAAAAGTATTTTAAAAAGTTATCAGTGAAGCAGTTGGTAAGTTGGTCTCAACAGAGGTAGCAGTAAAATTTATGTATCTAAACTCTGTTCACAACTAACTGTTTAACGCCATTTTGTGTTTCAACATGTTTTAACATTTTTACTGATTTATTGGTGGTGATTGAAGAAATAAGTTATTTTAATAGTATTCACATGAAAGAAGCATAAAAATGTTACTTATTCATTTGATGTCTACTACAAGTATTTTAGATTCAGGTGACTGAAGGTAAGCTGTAAGTGATATCTTGATTCTGTAGTTGCTTATTTGTACAGTTTTCAGTACCAGGCCTTAAAAAGGTCAATAAAATCTATAACGTGTCTCACGTATCTTAATAATTAAAATGATATTTAGTTTTTTAATTGGTTATAGAATCATATCTGTAACACACAATGTAATTTGTTTTTACTGTTTAAAGATTGTGTCAAAATATAGTAGTACTAGTAGTTGGAGAGTTATATACATTATCAGAAAAGAGACCATCTTTTTACAATCACACTATTACATGCCCTTACATTACTGATCGGAAACTACAAAGTGCTGTGTTGCAAACTTGCACTATGACTAACAGACATGCTGCAGAAAACCTTGCACATTTGCTGAACATAGCTGCTGCAGCATGAGATATTACAAATAGACAATGCTACTAATGTAATTTAGCAAGAACTGAATTTCTTGACTGGGAATTGTCCATGTTTTGCACACACCTTGCAATTGGCTATTAACGATGGCTTCAAAGTTTATAGTATAAATTAAGTCATAAAAGCTGCAAGCCATTTGGTGTCACAGTCTCGTCACACCATGGTTGCTAGTAAAGCTAATTAAGCAAAACAGCAACAGCAGAACCTGTCTGAACTTCAACTTGTGAAATATTGTCAAGAATGCTGGAACTCTATTGGTGATATTTTTGAGCGTCTACAGAAATAAGGATGGGCCATTCATGTTTTATTATCTGACAGAAATTTCACCAAATTGGATGATGCACATACACTTGAGCTAACCAGTGGCACTGACAGATAACTGAGGAGCCTCTGTCAGTTTTACAGACTTTGAAATTTGCAACAACTGCTCTTTCTGGGGAATCAGATGTATCAGTCTCAATAGTGTACCCCATTACTTTGACACTGCTGTCAAAGCATTTGAGAAATGTGTCCGGTGAATCCTACAAGTTAATGCATTTCAAAACAGCAATTACAGAATCACTCAAAAGGGAAATGGTAATGTCAAGCTTAGAACTAGCTGGAAAGGTAGCACTGATTGCAACATTTCAGAACCACCATCTCTGGTTAGTAATCCTTCTACTGAACACAGAAAAGGAACATGTACTGCTACTGCAAAGAGTATGATGGCTGTATTATTTGGGGAGTATAATTATCTGCAAGAAGGAACATTGTCGAATGATTAAATGTACTTCACCAATAAGCCATGCATTTCACTGGATTAGGATGTGCTTCTATGGTAGAAGGTAAGCAAATGTTGCAAGAGGTTTGGAGCATTAGCAGAGGCATATTTGTGTATTCCTGCCACTTCTCTCACAGCAGAGAGAGTGTTTTTAACTGCAGGGCTTGCAGTAAACAGGCTAGGCAGACATCTCTTGCCTGAGTGTGTGGATATGTTAATATTCTTAAACAAGAATATGTAAATCTACTAACAATGTAAGAAACACAGGAATGGTTTTTGTGCCACCTGCCTTCATTTTTTTTATCATGAGCAGCATTTTTTATTTTGTAATGCTACGGGTAAAAGAAACATTTGGCTATGTAATTTCATTAGGGAATTTTGGATTTTTCTTAAGGACTTGAAAAATTAAGGCAAAGGATAAACACACTATAATTTGGGTTTCATGCATGGGTATCTAAACTGAAATGACTATAAAATGGACAAAAAAGGATTTGTGGATTTTTTTTTTTCATTTTGCAAAGAAACATTCAACACTTTTTGGCAATTGAGATTTTTTCTTTTACATTGGACTGCAGTATAATACAACTTCTACAAGTACAGCCAGATGTGCTACTTGTTTTGAATTATTTAAATGCTATTGAATGAATAAGCCATTTTATTTAAATTAATATAATGTCAGTACTTAATGGCTAGTTGTATTTGCTAGCTAGTAATGTTAAACTAACACATATACATGTGTATGGTATTTTATTATGTGATTACTACTATTTTATACCATAATGTTGTTTTCTGTACAGTTGAAGTAGATCATTTACACAACACTAAACAGATGTACTACAAAATAACAGTAATGTGGAAGGGACTGCTGTTTTGTTTTAGTGTTAACATATATAAAAAAGAATTGTTTCTCTACAAAATAAAAGGAACTGTGCAAATGCACAGTAGTATTTTCCAGAACCATATTTTGAAATTGGCTAGGTGAATGAAGAGCAAAGATGAGCATTCATAACTGGATAAGGCATTTGTATATACTATTGTTTGTGGTGATTCAATGAAGTGAAACAAAAAAAATCAGATCTTTGGAACTTTCTTAACACACACTAGAAATATTTTGATACCAAGCTTAAAAAGTAGGCATAACTGTTCAGTAAAAAAATCAGTCAATACAAACTGTTATTCTGAACTATTGAGACAAATTTTACTAAATGTAATAAATAGAGAAGTACAACATTTTACGTAAGTATGAACTAATAGAAATTTACCCAATTTTTATTCTAGTTAGAAGTGTTTTAATGTTGTTTTTCAGTTCAAAAATGTTGAGTTAAGACACTTTTTCAGGAGTAACTAGAAATAAACCATTTAGTAGAAACATGAAAAAATATTATAAAATAAATTTTACATCCACTATTGTCGGAACAAGAAGTTTATTTGGAAACAAGTTTCGACATTCTACGGTATTCTGCATTTACTTGCTATGAAAAATATTAATTGTATACAAATGTTGAAGCATTAGGTAGATCAATACTTCACTAAAAAAGTATGTCAGGTTATTGAACAAGATAATGTAGAAACTGATTTCGAAATTATTTTAGATATGGTTATGAAAACACTAGATTGAATAAAGATCTTGCAAATTGGCATCTTTTTGATCAGAATTTCATTATACTGGAATGTTTTTGGTCTGATATAGTGGTAGGAAATAAATGTGACCTCCCAACGAGGGCAGTAGACATGAAACAGGCAGCAGAAGTAGCAAAAAATTATGGAATTCCATTTATAGAAACTTCAGCTAAAACAAGAATGGGAGTGGATGATGCCTTTTACACCTTGGTACGAGAAATACGTAAAGATGTAAGTAATAATTCATACATATTGTGTCATCATTTTTTATTGTTTATTGGAAAGTTAATGTTTACGATGTGTATTAATTAAAGTACTTAAAGTTTTGGTGTCTTTTGAGTAGTTTATCTAAGCTTCTGATGTTTCCTGATTGGACTCTGTTTCATACTCTAGAATGTAGTAGTTTTGGAGTGTTACTGGGAGGTATTTATAATAATTCCAGATGTTAGTATCTCACTTTTTTGTGCTTCTCAGATTTTATAGTCCTTTATACATGTTCCTTGTGTTAACTTTTGTTTTTTGTCTATTTTGATCAGTCTGCATAAACTTTCTCTCTTGAAATTAAGGGAATGGAGTTTGTATGTCAAAATACTCTTGGAATTTAAAGGCATAGAATATGTATGGGCACAGTGTGACCCATTGGTTAGCTTGCTGAACTATGGATGTGTGGATCCAGCATTCCTGTCCAATTACCTTGGAGTTGGGTGGGGAATCACACTCCACATTTTTGGGCCATTGGTGTATTATAATTGTGATGGTCAAATCCCACAATTTAGTCAGACAAGAGTAGGTCAAGATTTGATGGTGGGTGCTATTGACCAGCTGCCTTCCCTCTAGTCTGTCATTTCAATGTTAGAGTTGGCTAGCGAAGATAGCTTTCGAGTAGCTTTGCAAGAATATCCAAAATAAAATAGTGTGGATATAAAAATGCCCTGTCTTGAAATCAAGGGAGTTGGTAGATGTGTGAAAAAATTTACTTTAATGAAACTTCTTCCTTATCATGGTATACCAATAAATATAGCATAAAAACATAGCCAATTATCTATATCTTAATAGTTTATAAGTTTTAAATTGTTAATTTTATAATGTAATATTAAAAAAATCCTGAATTTCCCCTAATATTGTGACATTTTCACTCTAGGCATTCCCTCTTCTCTAATTTATATATCATCCCCTCAAGAAGTTTAAAATTTAATGTAAATTACTCATTATAATCTTGTCATTGCTCAAGCAAAGCATAGTTTTTATAGTCTTCAATCTTATTTGGTTACAGAGCCATCAAATGGAAAATCAAACACCTCTTGCTGTGCCCACCTGTCACATCTAATCTTTCACAAATTACCAATAGTTCTCTCTGAAATTCAATACCATATTATTTACAACAAATAGAAAGCCAAAGTTTTGTTCTATTAAATGACGTATTATGTTACATTGTTTTTTGTCAGTTTCACTTCCAGTTTAAGCTTTATTCCCACGGGAAACACAATGATAAGGTTAGCTGAATTTCCAACGGCTCTTCTTGCATAATTAGAAAGCCAGAAAATTCTGAGAGTCATGGGACATATTCTGGTTTTTGCATGTTATTATTTTGTGCTCTTTGTAGCATTATTTAATTAAATAAAAATTTAGTGCAGTAGTACCATTAGTATTAAAAAAATGTATGGTTAAGTGTCATCAACAGTTGACAGGAAAAAAAAAGAAGACCCAGGTAAGTATTTATTTCTTTTTTTTCATGTGTATTATTTATTTGTTATTATAAAAGTAACTAAAATGTAAAAAAAGGAAATTTTTTAGATTAGTTAAGGTTAGAATAGATAAAATAAAAATAATATACCAAAAAATTTTCCGAAGGTACACTTGCGAGTATCTTGTGTGAAATGTAATTTGATAGTGTAACATGAGCTGAACGTCCACCAAGTGATTTACAACTCATAATGGTGCAAATAGTAGTTAGATATGTCTTAAAAGACAATAAAACCTAAGTATAAGTAGATGTATACTGTTATAAAGTTATATAGGATAAACAAATGTAGTTTTATGTTACATTTGAAACCATTCTAGAAAGAAAAAAAGGGTAATTTAGATTTATTTTGGTTTTATTTTTGGTGGTTACAAGATTGGTCAAATTGACCAACCTTGTATAGAGTTAGGGTAGAGAAAATAACAGATAAGATATAAAGTTTTACCGAAAAAAAAGATGTTTGAAATTTATTTAGGAAGTTTTAGAGATTATGCAAAATAAATTTGAAATTTTGAGACAAAGAAAAGTATTTTGAATCTTGACATGGAAATCACTTTGCACTTGGACTAGTAAAAAAAATATTATATATATAGTCATGGACAAATCTTTAGTAGAAATACTTCATTAAAAAGATCTGATTTGTTGTATACAAGAGACTTCTAGTGTTTACTAAAAGTCTGCCAAATTTTGTGCAGATCATGTAATAAAAGTTATAGTATGGAAACTATAATGAGTACAAAATGTGGTTACAAAATCAGTCCATACAACTGATCTCATTTTGAGAGAGTTAAAGGGTATTAAAATGCATACATGCACACACACATCTATATTTGTAGAACTTCTGATTTTAATTTCTTACAGCTGTTAAAAAGTTTGATAAAAAAAATAAATTGCAAAGAAATTAAGGAGAGAAAAGAGACTAGTTTTAACTGTATAGTGTTTGAAGTTATTTAAACTTTGATTAAAATAAAAATTTATGGAATTGTGAAACATAACTTTTCTTTTTGTAAATGTGAAACATTTTTTTCAGAGAGAACGAAAAGGGAAAGATAAGAAAAAACACAGGGATAAAATTGGAAAGAAAAGGTGTACAATTCTATAAATGGTAAGAAAATATTATTTGTTTACTCTTAGAAAGCTTGGACTGATAAAAACAAGCACAAAAATTTATTTAGGTATTTATTTCCAGGAATTTTCTCTGTTGTTAAAAGGTGCATATTTTTTATTAGGATGTGGCTTTTGTTAATTAAATTAGCAAAATTAGAAAAAAAATTTCAGCATTAATTCTTGGTTCTTTCTCAGTTATTCAAGAATGGGGTACTGCTAGCATATGTTCATTGCATTTGAATTAAAGCTTTTATTGTCAGATAAAAGCAACTAAAATGTAAAACATTATTTCCTCAGAGTGTACCTTAACCACTGATATAATAACTACTGGATTTATTGAAATGTAAACTAGATGATTAGCAGGAAAATAGAAAAAATTAATATTGACAAATTAAACAAAGGCTACTATGTAAAAAGTATGCATCAATTTATTTCTAAAACTAGAAATCAAAACTTTTATCTATTCATGTAAAATTCTGTAAGAAATTATTTTAACTGTGTTGCCACAGGTATCCTTTGCTGTCCATGACATAAAGTTTTAGTGTCTTACATTCAAATTTTTATTGAACTACTTTTTTGATATTATACCAATTAGTATAGCATAAAATCTTAGCTAATAATTAATATTTTAATAGTATATATAAGTTTTAAGTTCTTAATTCTACAAGGCACTATTTAAAAAAATCCTGAATTTCCCCTAGTGTGACACATGTGACATTTTCTTTAGGTATATTCTCTTTTCTATTTTATCCACCACCCCTTCAAAAAGTACAAAATTAACTGTAAATTACTCCCTATAAAATTGTCATTGCTCAGACAAACCATAATTTTTTTGCCTTCAATTTTGTTTGGTTACAGAGCTATCAAATAGAAAATCAGACCCCTCCTGCTACACCCACCTGTCACATCCTCTCTTAATACATTTAATTATATATTACCTATAACCAATAGAAAGTCCAGATTTTCATCTATCAAATGACGTATTTTATAACATTGTGTTCTGAACAGAATATTGTCAATTTCACTCAGAGTACAAGATTCATTCCCTTGGCAATGTTAATGACTAGAAATCAATTGTAACGTCTCTTG